GCGCAGCCTTTGTGATAGCCAAGGGGAAAGACGAGTGCTCCTCCCCTGCACTGCCAGAGCGACTGCTATGAACCCTGACACCAATTGCAATTACATTTGAAAGGGACAAGGGTCTCAGAAATCAGTGTAAACGTCCAGGAGAGAGCGTCAGGGTATTTCCATTATTCGTAGTCAGAGCAGGAGCTCAGACATCATCTGTGAGACCTCAGGAGCTCAGACATCATCTGTGCGACCTCACACTAGCTGGAATAAACAAGTAGCATTCTTTATCTCTGGAAGTCTCAAATGTCCTTTTAATGTCTGCAAACTCTTTGAGCCAGTAAAGGATTTTTTTGGGATTAATATACAGCCTGATTTACCACCACAGTGTACACAACAAAGCAAAACACACAAACAACCCATCTGCACACACTGAGTCCTGCAGGCTCCTGAGACTGAGCAAGGAAGGCTCATGTATCTTCTAGCTAAGGTGCTGGAGGGAGAAGAAAAAGTATTAGGGGGAAAGAAATCATGTTTTTTACAGAAATCTTTCAAGGGAAACTTGCATAAAGTAGAATTGAAAAAGTAATGATGAAGTAACAGTGAAACTGGAGATAAGCAGAAAGAACAAGTAAATGAAAGTGAAACGAAATTAAGTTCTTCTCTGAAAGAAGCCTCCAGCTGAAGGAAGCTCCTCTGAGAGCAGACTACTGCAGCACATCTCAACGTGACAAGCAGCTGAGGGTACTATTTGAACTACAGAATTCTTTAGGCTGGGAAAGGACCTCTGGAGATAGCTGGCTTTCTTCTAAAAGCAAGACATTAAATCAAGGACACTGTCAAGCAAAGTGTTGAATATTTCTGTTGAGGAAATTTCTGCTACTTCTCTGAGTAATATATTCCAATGTCTAGAATATATTTCTATTCTTATGAAATATTCATAATTCTATTATTATGTTTCTAGAGTGGATAATATACACCTGGAGATAATTTCCTCTAAAGAAACATATTCCAATTCCCCTTTGTCCTGTGTACCCCAGTGAATCATCCAGTTTTTAGGAGCTGAAAACCTGTTGGTGTCCCAATATAGGTTCTTTCACCCAGCTTGCAAGAGGCTGATCTACATACAGAATCAAGGTATTTGATGTATTTACAGTTTTGCCTTGCAAAGAAAGAGGTGCTTACTGTCAAATTCACAAAGCCAGCACCATAACTATCAATATTTGCTTACATTTTAGCAGACAAAGGCTCATCGGCTACAAGTTACAAAGTTTTTCATATTCATTAGTGTTCTTTCTTCTATTGGATAAATTATTCCCTCGCTTCTTATGCTGATTTGTCCACATGCTCAGACTTTCTCTTCTTCTGAGTCAGTTGTTTCCTGGATCGGTGGTTTGTGAATTAGGGGTAACAATCTCCTCATGCCAGAATTACCTTCTACGCAGTCAGAGCTGATCTCAGCACAATTGCTGAGCTGTCTTCATGAGTTTTTTTCTTTACCTTAGGAGTTCTGCCAAATGTCCTTGAGGCCCATAATTGTATTCTTTGGGTCTGCTATCAGTGATACATCCTTATCCCAAGCTTTGTTAACCTCCCCCTAGTTCTGAGACCATTGAAATATGCCTAAGCCCTAGACCTTAACAAGGCAATTTTACCAACAAGTAATTTATCTTTCTAACACACAGATATCACTGTGGTTGGATCTCCCCTGACCCTTATTTTCTCCAGGCTTTATAAAGGTAGTTCTTTCAAACATGTGACGTGCTCTTCAATCCTGTTAGCCTCTGGACTCTATAATTTTTCAGTCTCCTGAACTGTTCCAAAATTGACCAGACCAAAATTGAACACAGTAACGCAGACACTCTCAGTTTATCATTTTGCCTTACCTCAGAATCACACTGAGGTTCCCCAAACCCCCACAATGGAAACCAAGCCCGCTTCTGAAGCTCAGTGACATGTACGATATGGGTGAAACCTCATCTCAGGAGAGACCTTCCAACAGCCTCGGACACCAACCGAGCGCCTCATTGCTGCCACTGCGTGCCGGGGCAGCAGCCAGCGCCCAGAACTCAGAAACGCTGTCAGCAGCTCTGGAAGTGAGCTCTCATGAGCAGGAAAGTGAAAGACACGTTCCCGTTTGTGACTGGGATTTTCAACTCATGGTTACCGTCAAAGGTTTCGTTTCCATCACCGAGGAGCGGCACTGAGCGGCAGCGCCCCCGCAAGCGAAACCGGAGGCGGCGCCGGTGCTGGGCAGGGCGGGCCGGGCCGGGCCAGCGCAGGGCTCGCTGCGGGGCCGCGGCCGCCACCAGCGGAGCGCCGAGTGCCGGGCGCCGCCATGGCAGAGGGCACCCGGGACGAGCGGTTCCTGTACATGATCTCCTGCTTCAGGCCGCGGCTGAGGCAGATCATCCAGGCGCAGCCCGTGCTGGACCAGCTCCCCGCGCTGAGCGCGGAGGACAGGGACAGGGTGCGTGCGGCCGCGCTGCAGCGCGGCGCGGCGGCGGGCGCGGAGGAGCTGCTGCGGGCCGTGGAGCGCGGCCCCCGCGGCCGCGGCTGGATCCGCGAGTTCCTGCTGGCGCTGGAGCGCGGCGGCTGCGGCCTGGCCGCCTGCTACGCCAACCCCAGCCTGAGCCAGCTGCCCTCGCCGGCGGAGGAGGCCGAGCACGACCTCTGCGTGCACCTGGTGCAGCTGCTGCACGGCACGCTGGTGGACAGGATGCGCGCCGTGCAGGTGGCCGAGAAGTGCTTGCAGATGGGAATCTTCCAGGACGAGGACGTGGATCGGGTGAGTCTGGGCGCAGGCAGTGCCACAGGCACTGGGGCTGTGGGGCAGGTAGGAAGCCACAACTACAAATGGCATAGTAAACGCAAAAACAAAAGGGGAGTTCACAGACTTGAGGGAAAATAGGTAATGGGTCCAGGTAAGCCGATGAAGACTGTTGACAATGGGCCAACAGGTGGGATGCCAGCTAAGAGCCTGGCAAAGAAAATGCCAGGAACAGAGGATTGGGCCAAGGCAGTATCTAAGTGGAAGAAATATGTCAGACTTTACTTATCATTTTGCCACAGACCTTAGGCTCAGAAGATCTTGTGTTCTGGCCCTTGAACCATACCAGGAAGTAGAGATGGTCCGTAAAGTCCTAAATAATGCTGAGTTAAAATAAAGCAAGATTTTCCATCCCCCTTTTTTTCTATAGGTTCACTAAGGACTATCACACTAGACAGTGACATGAGCGGAAATACCAGTTGGACAAGATCAAGGAAGTGTTAACCTTTGATGAGAATGCTGCCCAGTGTTTATTCCACTTGGCTAAGAATGGCTTGCCTGGAATGTGAAACCTATTTGAAACTCAAAAAAAAATGATATCCTGAAACAGTGTTAGAACAAATTTAAATAAAAATTGCCATGGCAATAAGGGGAAAACTGGTAAAATAAGGGTGTAACTAAATCACATTTGCACTCTGAGCCTTTGCATCTGCTTTTGAGGTAGTTTTTATGCTCCATTTCATTTAAATGACTGTCAGATACATAATTTTGTGTTGTCACCATCAGGTGGCATCAATGATCAGATGCACCCTAATTAGAAGGGAGCCAAGCATGGTAACACAACAGGCAGATGCAGAGGCCTTTTAGGAAGCAACTGACTCCATTCCCTGGTAAGAGGTCCTCATGTTCCCCTGGGTCACCTTTTTGCTGCTGTTTTTTTGCTGGTATTTCTATCAGACCATTTGATACCTTTCACAATCCTGCCAGTTTAAACTCCCAGTGGAGTTTAGGCGTTCCTAATGTCTCCCACTTTCCACACACTTCCTTTTAGTCACGTACCAGTCAGGTGTTCCCACTGCTATGCCTGCCTATTTCCTTGCATCTCGGCATGGGTGATTCTTGAGCTTTGAGAAAATGGCCCTTGAGACTGAACACCCGGCTCAAGCTGCTTTGCTCTTGGGGTTTTGTTCCTCATGTGATCACATGTCAAGTTCTGCTTGTGACAGCCTTGGGACGCTGTCGTAGCTTCTTTAAGGGCAGTAGCCACTTTCTAGAGGCTCAGCTATTGTATTTTTAAGTGGGAGTTGAGATGATGAAGCCAGAGTTAAAGAAGGGAAATGTTCTTTTTTATGTATGAGGTCATGTTATAGATTAAGTCTGAACTTTGGTAAACTGTGTGACACCATTTCTCCTTAATCAAGGTTTCCCATTCCCTGAACCAGGCTGAACACCAATTGTTATTCCACAATACTAAGAATTATTATATAGCGGTTACTATTTTAACCATTGTCTAGTACTACCAGTCTCTCTCCAATTAAATTCCAGATCTAATAGGTTTTATATATCCTACCCAAAATCATATGTGATGAACATGAAGTTGGACAAAATTGCAATACCTCTCTTCTGATGAGTGGCAGGTCCACTTTATATCTTTATTTTTCAGTATGCTTGAATAATGACAGGGAAATGCACCTATACTCAGGCCATTTCTGAAGTCTGAGGGTTGTTTCTGGTTTTTTATTTTTGCCAGATCCAGACTGTTACTGACAATCGTGGGAACAGAGATGGTGCAAGGGAGTTACTGAGCAGAATAGTCCAGAAGAAAGATTGGTTTTCTTCTTTTTTGATTGCTCTTCGTGAAACCCAGCATGAAGACCTTGCAGATGATTTAAGTGGAAATACAGGAGGTAATCATCTTATTTCACTGGTACTCATGTGTGGATTTTTAATCTCTTTTTTTTTGTTGTTGTTGTTTTTTTTGGTTTTTTTTTTTGTTCTGTTACTTAAGAAGCAATGCAGGATTCCCGCCATATTGTTTTCTTGTGACACTGGGACTAATGCTTTTGATTGTCCAGGGATTTCAAAATCAAGTTATGTAATAGCTTGATAGATTTTTAAATACTAAAAATCATTATTAAGCAATATGAGAATTATAACAGTGTGATTTAGTTGCAATTAAACTGAATCTTGCTTTTAAAACACACTGGTTTTCGGTGTGATTTTTATAATCATTCATAAAACATACTCTGAAAATTAATTTGAACAAACAAAACAGACTTTACCTGAATTTCTTCTTCAATACAAGTGTTTCCTATACAGAACTGTTTACAAATATTTTTGGAATTTTAAAGTACTTTGCATACTTTAAGACATTTATAAGTCTCAAAACATTATAAGATTTACTAAAAATAATGCAATAAACTAGTAGAGTGGCTACTCCTTTTCATTCATATATAATGTTTACAATACTGTAAAGTTATCCCAGTGCTCCCCTGTATTCTTAAATATAAAAAAGAAAGCAGTCCCAAATAATTTATCCCTTATTTTTAGTCCCCATATGTTTTCTAAAATTTTAGAGACTAAATTACTTTAACAGATTTCCCATTTAGCAGCTTCAGCCTGCTCACTTGCGGAGCTCACCAGAGCTGTCTCTGTGCTTTTAGTTGCTGCATATGGGTCAGAGCATTAAGATTGAGATAAGAGGGACATGAAGGTGTCTCTTTCAGCTTTGGACAGGAATCGGATGGTTCTGCCAGACACAGACAGGCAGCTGTGATATTTGAGGATGCAGTAAAAGATGGTTGAGTGTTGCAGTCTGCAGGACAAGACCAACCAAGTCAGAGCCTCAGAAGATCATTTTGAGTGCAACTCGGGTGCTGGGAATAGCTCAGCAGCTATTGTGATCCTAATTTTCATTCTGTGTTGCAGCTGTGTGAGGCTTAAATTCTTGTCTTCACTACTTTGCCATCAGTAAGGTAAACAAAGTAACAAATATACAAATTATTAATACTGTTTTCGTATTTTTATTTTCAATTCTTTTCACATTTTGCATTTCTGAATTTTCAGTATAGTGCAGATTATATAGGTTGAAACTGAGGATTAATTCAGTTGTTTGATGGACTACTGAATTAATGCATTTATTCCACAATTTCTTTGTAGTCTTGGGTGATGTAGACCCCAAAACAAACTGTACAGACTAATGTATCAATCACGAATGGTGTTGCTCTTAAGAGAGGATAAGTAATTTTCCATGTACACAGTCCTGTATGTGTGTAGATATGTGAAGTGTGTGGTTGCAGGAGCATGTCATAGAGAGGAAACAGCTTCATTGGGCACTGTGATGCTACATTTTGTCATTGCAGCTTGACCCCCTGTGATTTGTTACAGTAAAATATGTTGTTATTAGTAAACACCTACACACAGAAATCAAGAACTTAATAAAAATAAATATATTAACCTCTTTAAGTTTAGTTTCTAATTGTAGATTAGTAAATTCTTAGTAAATATTTGCATAAAGATCAAAATTCCAAACTACAACATTTGAGTCAAGACCAAGACCATATGTTATATACTGTTATGTGCCTGATAAATACAGGTTAATTCTGTGTTTTCTGTGCTCCACACTAAAAGAAATGAAATGTTTTATAGAACTGCCTTTGAATTTCTCTATCTTTTCTGGGAACAGAGAGTAAACAAAATGGGATGGAGCAGACTACAAATGAAGAAACAGAAGTTACAAGCCAACCAGGAAACGTCATAGAGGAGAATTTGAAACAGGAAGAAAATGTGGATGATAGTTTCTGCAGTGAGAGCAGTCTGTTGGAAACATCCATAGAAAAGAATTCTGTGGTGTCAGGTTTGTCCACTAACTGGTATTTTGATCTGGTATAGATTAGTATTTTTGAATTATATTTAATACTTTTGATAAAAATATTAACGTTATTAGGTTAGTATTTTGTTTCACACATAGTAGGCTTATACTATCCAATGAGAACATTGGGTTAACATTGACAGCTCTGTACAGTGTTGACTAAGTTTAAGATAAGAGGAATGTTTTTATACCACTAAAACTGCAGCTGTATTAAGTACTTCTGTCTAGAAGGCTGGAAATGCTATATTGAAAAGCATGTTTTTGTTTTGAAAAGTCCCTCAGTGTTGTCCAACAATTAATTTTTCTGTTCATTTTAAGGTTTTTTATTTACAGGTATTCAGCCTTTCTCATGTTACATACATACTCAGAAGTACATTTTTAGTAAAAATGTTTAGGAATGGTTGTGGCCTGTTGTTCATACAGATCCACTCTTAAAAACATGCCTTGGGAGTTGATAATGAGCAGCAGCAATTACCAGCAGCAATGCCCAAACACAGCTGTGAACCAGTCTTTCAAACATGCATTGCATGATTCAGGAACTGTGTGTGTTCCAAATTCATATGGAGCTCAAACAATAGTTATAGCTAAGGTAAATCCTGCCTGAAATTATACTAGTGGGCTTACTCAACCAAAGGAGTAAGACAGCTAAGACTGCTCTCTTTTTATCAAACATGAATATATTTTTTAAATGGCTCTGAAAAACTGGAGCCTTTCATTGTGCAACAGTAGTAGCCTATTTCTTATTTCACATGATATTAACAGGATATCACTGCTTTGTAGCAAGTAGTGAATTATTAACTACAGCAAAATTATCAGCTTGATTTTCCTGGGTTAGAACATAATTTTGCAGTGTAAAGAAGAGGTGCCTAATATTTAATGATAATTCAAAATAGATCAGACTGGATTATTCTTTCTGGATAAAGCTAAGGCTCGTATAGAGCCTACTAAGGGTAGGTTTTCATTGCTGTTAGCCAGATCTCCTACTTGCCTTTTGTTGTGTTGAGGATTAAGAAAATTAGATCTATCAGTTATTAACTTGTTAAGTTAAAAAGTTATTCACTTTTTAGGTAATTGTAGCTAAAAAGCTATTGTCTCAGCATAGAACTGAAATTAATAGAGTGGGTGTTAGCAGTTTGGGCAGTTGAGCATATCTGTTCAGTGAAATGGCTAAGGGGGTACAGAGTACATCTATTCCATCAGTTTGGTTCAGACTGATTTCAGTCGTGTGGAGTGTGTGTCTGCAAGTAGTTAGAACAAATCCTATTTGGTTTCAGCAGACAGTTCATTTCTGATCTACACCAGCTCTGTGCTATGAACCAAAGTAGTGTAAGTGGGGACGATTGATGGATTCACTGTAACCATGCAGTTGTGAGATGAACCAAAGTAACAGTGTAGATGCAGGGTAACAAGGGCTGCCAGGAGGCAGTGCTGCTTGGAGATTTCTGCAGAGGAGCTGCCTCACTTTCAGCCATCCTCAAGTGCAGTACCCTTTGACATCAATGCACTTGTACATTCAGATGTAGCAGCACTCCAGTCTTCTTTTATTTCCTATTTCCATCCTTTCTTGTGATTTCATAAAACTATAATTTTACACCAGGCAGATTAAAATAGAAATGGAACCCAGATTCTACTTCCAAGTGAGCTGGGAACCCACCTAGTTTGTAATTTGATGCTGTCAAGTGTTGTCAGTTTTGCAGTACACTCCCAGATTCCTTTATGTCTTGAGAAGGACATATTTCAGGAAGAAGCTTTTCAAGTAATTTGAAATTACTGCCATTTGCCCTGTATCTGGAGCTTCCTCTGACACTTTTATTTAGGCAGATGAAACAGAGACAGTCAGAAGGTATGAGAGCAGTAAGGCCATAAAAACAAGTAGAAATAGAACACTTAGCCTAAGAGATAAGTGAAGAAAAATTGAGCATGCAAAAACACAGATAAGAAACTTCACATACACAAAATTACACAAAAGCAAGTAAATTCTTGAGGTCGAGGAGGTCAACACTTGGATTAAGTTGTTGCAGTTACCTATATAAGCAACAATTTAAATAATAGCAGCTTTTTCAAGGCTTGCTTTTCATTGCATTCCATTCTATTGTTTCTCTCTTATTTAGTGCTCAGTGTAAAGTGACTGAGTATCTTCCTGTGAAGTCTTCCTGTGAAATTCCAAATTACAATGTGCAAGCAGGACTTTAAGGGAAAAGTGACTCTATTAGCAAAAGTGGTAAAAATAGCAGTTAGAATAATAACTCTTTTATCTTCATTATTTTGGATATGCTTACTGATTTGGTTTTTTTTAAATTTGTTTTCTTTTAAAATAATTCAAGTAAGTTGCCACTGTTGAAAAAGGAGAATGTTGTTCTGTTCACCTTTCATTTGGAAGATGAGTATTTTGCATTTCACATCACCACTGAAGTTTTCTGTTTGAGAGATCGTTGTATAATGCATGCTGCACATTGTAATTAAGATTATTGTGTACAAAACACTTTATGGATTCATATTTTCATGATTTTCAGAAGGTCAGTTTAGATGGGAGACCATATGGAATACACACACAGAATTTTAATTTTGTCCTCTCTTTCCTATTTTATGTGGATTCCTGCAAAGTAAAAGCAAGAGATAGCAGTGTTATCTTCGTAGATGGGAGTTCCTATTAATGCTACTAATTAGTCTGTTACAGGTCTTTGAACATGGCTTGTAACTGGTGAGGTTTTCTTCTTTTTTGTGCCTTTCTGTTGATTGCATTCATTTGTTAGAAAAACTACTAAAACCTGACTCCTAGTGGTAGCTAAGATAGCTTCATAAGTTTACTGAATGCAGACCAGGTTCAATTCCCAC